AACGTCACATTATACTTATTTTTAATCATTTATTTTCTTATTTCACTAAGAATATGTTAAGGGGGAGAAACTTTTCCCTTTATGTACAAAAAAATAATAAGAACAAACCCGCAGCACGTAGGGAATATTTAAAATTAAAAAAATAGATACCAGTACACCCTGTATAAACATATAATACTACCAAATTTGAAAAAATGTGCTGTCAAACAACATTTGTATTAAACTTATTTTTACGAAACCTGATAGAAAATGAGATAGAGATAGAGCCAAAAGATAGTGAATAAATTTTGAATCTACACCAAGGAAAGTCGTAGTGATCGCTTGCCTCTTATCAAAATTCTTATTTATATATTGGAGAAATTCTCCCCCAAAAAGTATCCCAGAAGCGCATCTGCCTAAAAACTCAATTGCTACCATTTCAAAAGTACATTTTCTGAAGGGTTTCTTAGGGCGAAAATTGCGAATTACGAATTTAAGTGAAGGCGACGTGGGGAGCAAATCTGGTGTATAATGTATTGGGGCGAGTGGTAGTATCTAAAAAAGTTACTAAGAGTAGTAATGCCTATCGTTAACACAAAAAGTCACTAGAAAAGTTACTAAAAGGGTGGTGAGGCCGATAGTTACGCAAAAAGTTACCGGAAAAGTTACTAAAGATAGTAATTCTGGTCCTCCTTAGCCACTTTTCTTTTTTTTTACGCTTTTTTTTACTTTTGAATAGTTTTACGCCTGGTTTTAAGTAACAATGAATATGAGGTTTGAAAGCAAACTGTGCGTAAATTCTACTAGTTTATTTAGAAAGATTTGTTTCTATTTCGTAAGTTTTAGCTACTTTTATTTTTCTTCTGTTGTAAAGTCTCTATTTTGCTTTGTGTTTTTTTGGTGGCACGAAGTTAAAAAATAATAACAACCTTTTACATGTGTATCAATTTTCTAAACAAATATATCGTGCACACGGACAGACGGCTCGTTAATAAACGAGGCGTATCCGTTGAATACGACGTATTTGCTGTAAAACGTACCTAAAGAACGGCGGTGGGAGCTTCGAAAGTTTCACTTATTTATGCAACTGTAAATTATTTAGCTTAGATTATTATTTCATTAGTTTTGTAAGTATTTTCCGCAAGTTTTAAGTGTAGAAAATCGCCCCCAGCTTAAGGGAGTTCGAGTTTCGAAATTTCTCAATTCGTCGAACGTAGATATTCTCCTGGGGGATTTAACATTAAAATTAGTTTCTTAGTTGGAAGTTGTTTGAGTTTTAGCTAATGCTTTGTATTTTGTTTTTTGTGCCGATGACGTCGTTTCGGTTTTTATTTTTATTCCGCTTTCGTCTTCTTTGTAATATGGTTTTTTAGATATTCAACCCCTCGACTCGTTATCTGCATGAATAATTACACGGAAATGTTTCTTTACATTTGGCTTCCTACAGATCCGTTGGAGTGGTCAATTTCATATAATGTCATATAATAACATTATAAACACGTTATGTTACTCGCTAACTGACTAACTTTGTTAACCAACATTTTATATAAAGTTTCTTTATCCGTCAGATCTTTAAAGACCTAAGATATTAAGAACATAGTTTCATTGCGCTAATAAATTGTTAATAGTTATTTACATAAAAGTCCCGAAAATGACACATTACTGGCGAGGAAGTATTGAAGTGCAAGGCCTCTTTGGAGGGGTGGTTTTTGCGAGTTTTGTATTAAATTTTACCCGAAATCGTATTTTATTATAAAATTTACATTTTTATATAGAACTTTTCATTCATGTCAATCTGTCAGTGATGACAGGAGTCATTATAGATCTTTAGCAACGTCACAGATACGGCCGGTAAAGTGACGGTGCGGCCGTAAAAGTGACAGATGCAGCCAGTAAAGTGACAAGCGGCAGGAAACGTAGTCTGCTCTGGGTCTGTCATGGAAACTAAAATTTCCTTACAGAAAGTAGGCATGAAAATGAAGGTTTCAGGACGATGTAGGTAAATTAATTTAAATTAATAAAGATAAGGCTCACGTCATACCTTCCCGTGGTATAGCCTGATTTCAATGACGAGGACAGCGGAAGAGGAGGAATTCTTCGGCCAGGGGAAACCACTCCATTAATTACCGCACGGTATCTCTTGAGAAGTGCCAGAGAAAAATGAAAAAAATATGGATTCTTCGAATATAAAATTTTCTGCAGTTAAAATTGTCTCCAATTCGGATCTCCGGGGTGGACAGTATCCGAAAAATGCATTCAAGAAAAATAATGAAAAGAAGGAAAATGCTAAATTGAGAATGGGAACTAAGGACGTCAGAAGTCGACTAAAGAAAGAAAAGCTTGAAAATCTGCGGCGAGAAATGATTAAAAACTGACTGGATTTGATTGGAATAAGGAATAAGTGACACAATAATGAAAGCAGCTGAAGATCAAAGAATCTTTGGATCAATCAGGAAATGATGTCATAGATGGAAGGGAGAAGACACAAACACAAAACGTTCAATACTGAACAAGGACGTCGATATCAGAGGCTAAATACGGAATTGAGAAAAGAAACTGATCAACTAGCTGATGAAGCTAGGTAAAGATGGTGGGAAAATGTAATGTACCTAATGAAATAGAAAAGGAAATAGGATAAGATAGGAAAGAAAATGGTTTACAACAGGTTTAAAAGGCTCTGGGATAGATCATCAAAAGCTGATTGTAGCAATGAGGTGGAAGACAAGAATGGAAAAGTACTGAAAGAAGAGAAAGGGAAAGAGTATATGGTGGACCAAGGCAACTGGAAACAGAAGAATCAGTCTGCCCTAATAATCTAGGAGCCACCATATTATGATTTTCCATGACTATTGCTTTATGACCAAGGGATGTTAAAAGCGTTATTTAAGTATGTAGCAATTCCAAAAGAATTTTCAAAGGACAAATTTAGCTACGGTCGGAAAGGGAAACAAATAAATTTTTCAAATTTTATGCAAAATAATTTTGGAAGGGTCCAACAAAGCACCTCTAAAAATCATTATGCGGATCTCTCTGTAATTGGCCCAAGCCCGTTGAAGGCCCAGAACAAGAGAGGGATAATAAATAAATAAATAAATAGTAAAGGTATAAAAATTACAAAATGCTTCAAGGGTATTTAAAACAAGTCGTATGTTTAAAAATATTAGGGATGATTTAAGCCCCGCTACTCGGAGTACAAAACCTTCATTTTATATACAGGGTAGTGCGTCTAAAACAGTTCACTGTATTTAACTCGATGTCATGTTCTGCATTTTTCACTAAATATATAACCACATGGAGGGGGAGGGGGAGTTTGTGACAATAATTTTCATTTAAAATCTTAAATATAATCGTATTCCCTGCGGCGTATCAAATAACAGCTCTTGAAAAGCCTTATTGATCTGTTGAAATAAATTGACATTCGCATTACAACTTTGAGAATGGTATTTCCTAAGTATTTTTTACTATAATTATCAATAAAGCTTAGGCAAAAGTTTACAAGGATGTGCGAGCACATACAAAATCATGATAATTCTTACGGTTAATTTATTAATAAAATTGTTCCATTTTTGTACGTTGGAGAAATGAAAAATTTGTAGACATTTTCGTATTTTAAGTAATAATTATGGAAGTTACATGATTTTAAGTTCTGAATAGTTAATATAGAATTAGACGTAAAAACAGAAACAATTGGAAATGGAATTATCAGCTAATTAAGGCGTTTTGGCACAAATGCAAGTATATGATTTGTCGGCCACCAAAAGAAAACTGCTCACTTTTCATGTTTTACCTAAATGTGTAATGCATCGTTGAAGGTTTGCCATCTTTCCACTTTTACTTGTATTGTGTGCTACACATCACATTCGATTAACCACATGAATTTTAAATGTTTAAACCAGAGCTCAATTCATTAAAACAAGTCTAGTACAGACCATCGAACACTTTATCAACTTGAACGCTAGAAAATCAATTTTGCCATCAAGAGAGAGAATTTTTAAATAAATTTACTTGTGCCATGCCAATTCTATATTCGTAACATTCGTAACCACTGAAGTGTATTTTAGCTGGAACGGTAACGCTTAACTCTAATCGAGTTTGAAATCGGTCGTAATAATTATTAGAATGCAATAGAGAACGCAGGGAATACTGTCTGAATCTCTCATTCTACTAAAAAAAATGAATTCCTTAACAATGGGATCTGTTTTCGCGTGTAAATGAGGTTCATCTTTTGTAATTATGCTATATCACAGCATTTGAGACAAGGGTGTTGCCAAACGAAAACCTACAGATAAAGACTTATTTCCAGTTTTCTTCCCCTTTATTAGTCATGAGAGGAGCAGTTTTTACGAAAACCTGTATGCTACCCTTTTGTGCGTATTCCCTAAAAACCTGTCGTAATTTCTTGTAATCGACATTTACATATACATTTGGAAAACAATAAAACGAAAAGCGCCGACCAAATAAAGCTGCATGCTGCACCAATTTCCTTAGTAAATTGTGTGGAAAGCTCGCCTCTGAGAAAGTATTACTCTTTATTTACTCTATGGTATTAGATAGTGAATGGAAAAAGCTGTTTTTAATGAGCAATTATTTATTTATGCATTATACGTTCTATTTACGAAGCGCTTCAAATATAGAACGCATCGTCACCTACAAATTACAAAATAAAGGTAAAAATGAAATTTTTTTCGGATTTTCCGTTTGGGCATTTCCTCCATCAGCAAGTCGGTCGTAATAAAAGATGAGCGTCAATTTATTCACCACAAGAAAAGATGAACGATGAATTATTAAAATGGCTGCTAAACGACCTAACCTAACGGTAAACATAATCCACTTAATTTGCAAATCTCCATCTTGAGTTACTTTGTTGTACTAAGCGCGTAATTGCTATTTTTATCCCCTAGATTTTCACGATTATTGGTTGGTGCTTTATAAAAATTGAATGCCAGTGCGACGTTTTAAATTCGTTGGCATTCCGAACGCGTTGGGAGAATTTTACAAAATGAAAAATTTGCATTTTCTACCTTAGAAGAGCTGCTTCCTTCAGGTGAATAAATTACACAAACTCACTCGCGGTTTTTCTGTTTTAAAACGTAGATTGCATTTTGATAACTCGCGGTTTTCACTTAAAGCACCACAGTCCGCGTTTTTGCATCGATATTTGACCAACACTTGTATAACACGACAGCAATCTTGCACCCGAGAGCGCTCATCGTATGTACATTAAACGTATCAGTCATATGTGGTGACCGTAATGGATAACTTCCTTTCTAGGGATGTCAAAAGTTGATTGTAATATCCCTAATTCAATAATTGGACTTAGCTTCGGTATCATCTCGATTATTTCGGTCTGATTCAGTGCATTGACGGCGGAAAACTTTCCTCAAACTGAGATAAATTCCAACTTAGATTTTCATTCCGACAGTTGTCGTCTGGCAAAATGAGACGAGCATCCCGCCGCCCGGGAAATTGCAACTTGGTTAGCAACCCCCGCTGTTAAACAATAATGAGTTTCCCCACGTCAGGTTTGGAGATTTCGCTTTTTGCTGAATGTTGCAGCAAGATGACAAATAGTCGACCTAAATCACACAACTTGTAGATAACTTGGGCACCAAGAAACGGTTGTAATCTCAGTTAACAAACTTTCAACGAAGAAATATGTTTTTGGAAGATTTCTATCATCGTCTGTAGGTCTAAACAGAAAAAAATCGTGTAAGTTAAAGCGAGTTGAAGGTAATATTTTCTCCTGGATTTTCTGCGAAAGACATATCAGCAGCTCAGTATCATTATACGCACTTTTGTCATGTACCTTAACGGTTTATTGTTGGCAATTTTTTTGAGAATGTATAGGGGTTCCGTTTACGTAGTAAGGGTTTAAGTTGCGTGAAGGGGAATGTAAATCAAATGAAAAGGAACGGCGTAAGGCAAAACTTAAGTTATGCATTTTTAAAAAAGTGCATATTGAAACGCATACAACTCTATTTTGAAGCATGCATAATTGCATATGATCAACACGAAGATTTTATTGTTGTATTAGCCAACGTTCATAATGTATTTTTAACAAATCATCAGGATTTACTACTAGGCAAAGGATAACAGTTTGGTAAAATGAAAGTTATGACCACATTTCCTGTTATGTGATATTCTGATTAGCTCCCTCTCTATAGCGGCTTGCAATTACTCTATGATATGCAAGCCCCTTTGGGGCCGACTGCTTTAATTTCCGAGTCATGGAAACTAAAATTTGCTGCCATAAAGTAGGCATGAAAATGAGCGTTTCATGACGATTCGGGGTAGAAGTAAGTAAAGGAACTTCTAAAAGCCGCGTCCCGAGATGTGGCTCCCGGTTTGTGAAAATTTTCAGCGCATCAAATGCGATCAATTTATGTGAAACCAAACATCACCAGAGAAATAGCTATTATCAAATAAGCTGTGTTCTCATTTATTTACCTTGTAACAGTTGCAACAATTTTCTTGCTTTTGAAAATGAGGAAAATCAAATTCAATAGGCGTGAAAATTTCATTTTATCACTGTTGTGGACATGTTCCATGACTTGTACTATGGTAATACCTTTCGCAACCTCCTCATTGTCTACCAGGTGGTTGCTCACATATTATGCTTCGCGTGCGACGTGATATTAAATGGATGTAACATGGTGAATATGAAGGCATCCGTACTTAAATCTTGATCTTGATATGTCTTGGAATTCCTATTTAAATTTAATTTACTTCATTTTCCGTTTTATCCCCTTTTCTATGATACGGTTTCTCTAGTCACATGTCCCCTTCTGAAGTAAAATAGCATTTTAAATTCACGTTAACATATAATTCAAAATTCACATGCAAGGTGTCTGCTCTAGAAATTTGTCTATCTCTATCGAGATTTAAGACCTGTAGACCAGTTGTAAGAAGTGCTGAGAGAAGTCCACCTTGCATTAATTCTTGGTCAAGATTTTATTTTTTATATGTCAAGGGAAGGTATGGTCATGATGAATCGCAGTCTATCATCAGTTAATTCTTGGTGACTGAAAAGGTAAATCTTTAAATAACGAGCAACGATTTTAAAAGCACGGCGACCAAAGACATCTTTTGCTTTTGCAGAAAGAGATCTGAGATTTGTGTTTTCAGTTCCAATTGATAGTTTCATAGTCATATTTGAAGTAACGTTACTTAGCAACCTTTAAAACTGGACGTGCTTTAATTTATTTAAAAATATCTGTTTAATCAATAAATTAGTTTTTTTATGTCTTTCCTATCCAAGAATAAGAAATGACTTGCTTACTTCTCCGCTCCATTAATAAAAGCATGGAGTTGTATCACTCACCTGAAATAAAAAAAAAGTTTTTAGAAAATTTAAAATTGCACATACTTCCCTAAAATTTGAATACTATAAGGAATTTATATATAGTACTTTAAAGACTAATTACACACTCGTTTTTTATAGTATTTTTTTTAAATTATACCTGCAATATCTTTTAAAAATAAGGGAAATAATTTACATTATACTCAAATATATTTCTAACTAAGTGGGCTGATTATTCGTAATTCCATGATTGGCATGACAATGTCACTTGATGTTTGCTTTTACAAAGCACTAAATAAAATGACTTCGGTTGGTACCTGTATTCTGATGCAAGTACTTGCAAGTATGATAAAAACAAATTTTCAAACGTCCGTAGATCGTGAAGTATTCATTCAAATGAAAAAAAATGCAGGGAGTTTATTTTGAAATTCGAGATGTACCTCAATTTTGAACAGTAAATAGAAATACTTCTCTGCTCCACCCTGTACAAAAAAGTGTATTACACAAAATGTGAGGAATTTTCTTTTCTTTAACTTTCATTTGAACACTGTTTTCGTAGGTCAACCGATGCGTAGTTGTTTTGAAAGAAACGATTTTCTGTACTTTTCTTGCAACAATGCGGCACAAACGGTTGCTCCAAGCCCCCCTCCCCCCTCAAACGTCTGAAATAAACAAAAATGTTATATTCAAAGCCCAGACCTCAACAACATATTCAAAATTACCACTACAACACTTTTTATAAGGCAAAGGCCCTATTTCTCTCCTGTTGACTGGACTATATGTAGTCTATATACAGGGTGTCAGAACGAAAACGAAACAGACTCATAAGGAAATAGTTTAAACCTAAAAATTGACACCCTTACGCAAGGTGGCAACCCCTTCAATAAGTTTAAATTGACCTTTGGGTCGAGTGACATCATTGGAAAGGGATCTTCGGTTCCTACATGCCTATGGTTTAGTTTTCAAATTCGAGGGACTCTTTTCGGAGGTACACTTGGCTGTAGGGTACAGAACTACTACAAATGTATGTAACATCAGTACGTTAGTCTGGTTTACTGAAATAAAATCGTGTTTCTATTTTACTATCGGTACCTAAAAACCGAACTTGTTTTTTGCGTATTTTCCAAAGCCTATTTCCTTACGAGTTATTAAGCGGTAGAGCAAAGCGATGCAAGCCTTATAGGGGAATCGATGGTGTCCGTCTGTCCGTGAACACGATAACTGTCAAACGCTTGAACCTATTCTGTTCAAACTTTCCACAATTGACCTATATGCCACATATAATAAGCCTATTGAAAATGGGTGAAATCCAATGACCCGTACGGTCACACCGAGGTGCTCTGCCGCTTTTTAAAATCTGCTTTAGGGGTTCATTTAGTATGTTTCAGTTTTCGTTGTGCCACTCTGTATAAATCGCATCGCTGCGCTAAAAACTCCTATAGAATTGCATTACCCTATGTTCTTTGTACTGTAAAATAAAGGTGAGACGGACTATAGAGCCTATACTTAAGAAATACAATCGGACAGAAACATCAGTGGATGCGATTTTCGTGTTTCACCATGTTGATCTTAGTATCTTACAGTTCTGTCGTCACTGAGGAAAAGAAGTGGGTTTTTTCGTACTGCAATGGAGCATAATTCGATTTATTGACTGAAAAAATATGCGAATTATAGAGAACACAGTTCTTAAGTAGAAACTTATTATGACCTCAATATTGCTACTCGAGTCTTAGATTCACCCACAATCACGGGTGTTTTAGCGGTGATCCACCCCAGAGACCTTTCCGTAAGGTAAAGAGCGAGAATGCTCTTTTACAGCTATTGATTCTTGCACACAATTGAATTAAAATCAATTGAATTTACCCTTCTAGTTATTTCTTTTTAGATGAAGAACGCGATATTAAACTTCAGTCAATTCTTACGAAAAGTATAAAAATTAACCCAAACATATTTTCAATTTAAAGACATGCTTAACTTTTAGTAAGATTTTTGCTTAGTTTGTGAAACGAAAAGGCGGAAAATATATGCGCAATAGATTTATGTTGTAAAAATGTAAGTGTACGGTCTTAAAATCACTATACAGGGTGGTGACTTGACGAACGCACCATAGGAATTTCAATAGTAATTTTTTAATTTACAATTATTGGCTTCCCTAATTATTTTAAGGCGGCTCCACACGCAGGGGGGGGGGGGTATTTTACTTTCCCAGAATCGTTTAACTAAAGCTCCCAAAAAAACACCCTGTTTAGTGTTTCTGAAACACTATAATAGCGCCAAGATTTTTGTTTACGGCGCATTTTAGCGCATGATGAAAGGTACGATGTAGTAGAAAAAACATGTTAAAAAACGTAACTTTTGAAAATGTTAAGTTAGCCCCCCCCCCACTTTTTAAAATTTTTTTATGGCTTAACCGTAATGGCGCTAGCTTGAATTCAAGTAGCGCAATTGAGCGCATAACCAGATGTATCAAGTGGCACAAATACCGGTAGCAAAATGCGTTATGGGGGATTCCGTTCACTTGGCCCCCCCAAATATATTTAAGGATAACCAAAAAACAATAATGGCGCAAAGATACCTTTTTACGGCGCATTTCAGCGCATACCTGAGAGTACAATTTCGTATGAAAAGATGTTAAAAAAAAGTAACTTTTTATTATACCTGAATCACAATCTCCGTTTTAAACACTCAAATGCGTGCGAAAAAGGGCCTGTAAAACACGCGTGCTTTAAAGTTGCTAAGTAACGATACTTCAAGTATGACTTTTGAAACTGTCATCTGGATGAAATAAAAAATCCTCTTCGGTCGCTTTCTGTAAATGCAGAACATTTCTTTGGCTTTTGTACCTATCCTTTGGTTGAAGCTTTCACAAACGCGCGTAATTTAAGGTATGCTTCCAAATTGTTCCACTTTTTAA